ATTAGAATTTGCAAAGTTGGAGCAAAATTGGATTATCCTTTCTCTTTCTGTTCAGTAAAATATTTTTTTTCTTTATTTTTTAAAATTTCGACATTTTGTGGGAGAGGTACGAGAAGCAGTGGACTGATTTTTCCCATCTCTAAGTTTGACCATAATATTCCGATGTACCAAGTTTAAATCAAATCGAATACATCTTCGAGATGGGAGTATAGAAAAGCAGTAAGTTCGACCGGGCCGAACTTTGAATACCTTCCAACATATGAAAGGAATTTGGATATTAAACAAGTAAAAAAGCTGTAAGTTCGGCCGGGCCGAACTTTTAATACCCTCCACCATTTGGTACAAATTTGGCAATTTCCAAGAAATAAAACCCGTTAAAAATTATGTTAAAATCTTAAAAATACCGAATGCTTATACGACGACGTGGGCCTGCATAGGCAACTTTTGTTATAAATTATTACAATATTTAAATGAGAAACTTGAAGAAAAATCTGTTTATAATGTAGCTAAAATCATCAAAATACCGAATATTGGGGAATACCGTTATATGGGGGCTATACGAAGACGTGGACCTGCACAGACAATTGTCTGGCATGGGCTGAAGTATCCATTACGAACTTCACATACGAAATTTGAAACAATCCCTGTAAATAACGTCGCTAAAATCATTAAAATACCGAATATCGGGGGTACCGTTATATGGGGGCTATATGAAGACGTGGACCTACATGGCTCATTCTTTGACTTTGAATGAAGTATCCATTACAAACTTCAAATACCAAATTTGAAACGATTCCGGTAAACAATGTCGCTAAAATCATCAAAATACCGAATATCGGGGGGTACTGTTATATTTGGCTCTACAGGAAGACGTGGACCTGCACAGATAATTTTCTGTCTTAGGCTGTAGCATCCATTACAAACTTCAAACGCCAAATTTTAAATAATTCCGGTGAATAATGTCGCTAAAATCATCAAAATACCGAATATCGGGAGGTACCGTTATATGGGGGCTATATGATAACTTGGACCTACATGGCCCATTTACGAACTTAACCTGCCTACTGGGAAAAAATACATGTGTGTAAAATTTTAGCCTTCTATCTCAATTTGTTCGAAAGATAGCGTGATTACAACAGACAGACAGACAGACAGACGGACAGACAGACAGACACACAGACAGACAGACGGACATGGCTAAATCGTCTTAGAATTTTACGCTGATCAAGAATATATATATACTTTGTTGGGTCTGACATGAATATTTCGAGGAGTTACAAACGGAATGACTAAATTAATATACCCTCCATAGTATGGTGGAGGGTATAAAAATGTTGAAAAATGCTGTTAAAAATCATAAAAATACCGAATAGATTTACCGTAATACCGAAGATGTGGACAAAATGCTGTCATAGGCCATTGCAATATTTAAATAGGAAACTTGAAAAAATCCGGTAAACAATGTTGCAAAAAACATCAAAATACCGAAGATAGGGAGGTGCCGATATATGGGGGCTATTCAAAAATCTGGACATGCATAGACAATTTTCTGGCATTGGCTAAAGTACCCGTTTCGAACGAAATATGAAACAATCCCGGTGAATAATCATCAAAATGCCGATTGTAGGGAGGTGACGCCATGTGTCGTTTCGGGCTATACGAAGACGTGTATCGGCAACCCGAATTTTTTGTCACTGGTTGTAGTACCCATTACAACGTTTAAATCAATTCCGGTAAATAATGTGGGTAAATCATTAAAATACCGAATATTGGGTGGTATCGATACAGGGGGCTACTCGAAGTCGTGGACCCGCATAATCAATTACTGTCATAAACTACAAATGCGAAATATGAAACAATTTTGATTGAATAATGTCGCTAAAATCATCAAAAAACCGAATATAGAGAGGTACTATTATATGGGGGCTATACCAAAACGTAGAACTCATTTTTAATATCAAAAGTCCTTCAGACCAAACACACATCTGACTAAAATTTTATCAACCTACTTCAACGGACAGACATCGTTAAATCGACATAGAAGTTTATGCTAATCAAGAATATATGTGCTTTGTAGGGTTTAAAGTGTATATTTCGACAAACTTATTATGCCCTCCATACTATGGTGGAGGGTATAAAAATGTAATACCTCGGTCGACTATATCTGGCACCTCGTGCTCACTTTAACATTTTCTAAAAATTATCACATAACTCACACAAAGTGATGAGATTAGGTCCGATACGAAATGGACAATATTGGCTTATTCTTTCGGAACTAACTCCAAAGAGAGTCAACTATTTGGATAATCATAGCAGAGTTCAAAATATATTTATATATTCGATCATTGGCTGAGTGTATACCTCTCGGCAAACTCGAGATCTTGTTTTTATATCCTACAACACTATGTGTTGGGGGTATTATAAGTTTGATTGGGCCAAAAATTATGTAACACCTCGAAATATTGATTTCCCACATAGGAAAGTATATATGGATCTTCCTATCTCGCGAGTTGAGTCGATCTAGCTATGTATGTCCGTCCGTCCGTCCGTCCGTCTGTCCATGTTAATTTGTAATCACTCTACAGGTCGCAATTATGGCCCGATCTTCACGAAATTTAGAATGTAGGTGGGGCTTGGACCAGAATAGAACCCTATTGCTTTTGGAGATGATCGCCAAATGTTTAGGGGTTGAAATGGACCAAATACTGAAAAAATGTCAGATTTTGCAGTAGCTATACAGGTCGCAATTATAGACCAATCGACGCGAAATTTCGCATGTAGATAGAGTTTATGGCGGGGAACAAGCCTACTAATTTGGGTGGTCATCGGATAATATTTAGCGGGTAAAATATACCATATCTTTTGTGTTGAAAAAAATCAAAATTTTTCATTAAACCGCGAATATGTTAAATCCCGGCGAAATCACAAAGCCATCAAAAGGTTACTTCTGACCTTTACATTGATGTTGTTATCCAACAAATCGGATATATAGCAAAATATGTGCAATATATATGTCTATCAAAGAAGATATGCTTGAAAGATCTCTTATATGTCGAGAACGGCTGAACTGATTTTGACAGTTCTCATTAATTCAGAGTAGCCTCTTGGCAGGAAAGAAAAAACGTCTAAAAAATCGCATAGAAATATCTCTCTTAAGCTGAAAATATTGATTTTGTAAAATTTTCTCATATTTTTTTCAATTTTGTCATATTTTCATTTTGAATTAAACATTTGATAATATTTCTACAGCTAACAAAACTAAGTAGCTAGGATATCAGGATATCATATACAGATCGCATTTATGGCCCGATCCTTACGAAACTACTCTTTTTGGAGATGATCGCAATATATTTAGGGGTTGAAATGGACCAAAAAACTGCAAAATTGTCAGCAGGTCGTAATTATCGCCCGATCCTCACGCACATTTGAATGGGGGTTACCGGACATTGCAAAAGCCAAGCAGTTTTGGTTGGCCATCCAAAAATATTCAATGTGCGAAATAGTTTGCCAACTTTTGTAGACAAAATACGAAAATGTCCATTTCAGTGACTTTTTGGAGAATTCACAAATACAGGAAAGACGCACTTCCGACTATTTTGTTAACGCTAATTTCGTTGAAGAATATAGTCAAATGTCTGTATCTCATATAAATGCGTTTCAGTCAAAAACCAATAATAAATGTTAATCTTTTGCCACTTCTGAGAGATTTTAGGTCTTTGGGAAATATTGGTTCCAGATCTAGGAAGACCATTTAAGTGCAACATCTACCAATAAATTGGAAATGAGCAAATTAGTTAAAGTTGCTATTATTTGAAAATTAGAGAACGAAACCTGATGGTTTTCTTTTATTATTTGTCACAATATCTTGTGGAATTCTTTCGAGTATCTCGCCTATATAAACTGTATCGTTTATTGTAGTGCTGTAGGGTATTCAACGGTCGGCCCCGCTCGCCTATAGCCTTTGCTTACTTGTTTTATATTTTAGCTATTTGTTCGGTTTATCTTCTCTAAGTCTCCAAAATAAAAAACAAAATATTTCCTCTCGAATGTTTAAATAAGACCAACTTATTGATTTATATTCGTTTCATATTTAATGTCATCAACCTCTACATAAATTGTTAGTTCTTATTAACCACATTTTCCTTCATAAATTCTTCAGTTTTGAAATTCTAAGAACTATTTAAGAGTTATTTGAAGAGTCAACTTCCAGTTAATAAATATTTAAACAATTTTAATCCTCATACTTTTCATAGCTTTAATGTTACATATTTACCCCCAAAGCATTTGTAGTAATCATGGCGTATACATATTGGCAACACGTATACGCCTTGTCCTGCCCTTGTCAATTAAAAGCTTAGCATACAAGTCAAACTAATAATTAACAATTTCCTTGGCATATTTGAACAACAATGTAACAAAAATTGTCTTCAAAACCCCAATCCACCTCACAAATACACACACAGATATCTTTAGGCATTATTTAAATAATATCCATTGTAAACAAAATACCTGAGCATTGAATCCGAAACGTTTCATAGTAAACATTATATTTATCATTGTCATATCATTAGGGAAAGTCATTTATTTTTTGACAAATATGGATTTTGTTGACTTACATGACATACTTCACACAGATACATAGATCTGAAATAGAGTATGAAATTATTTGAAATCAAGATATCTGTATTTGATGGGTTTCTTAAATGCCAAACACTTTGTGTCTGCTAAACTTTTCATGTTCACCACTCAATGTAAAGATGTTTCATATATATGAGTGACAATGACAATGCACACACACATACATGCATATCTCTTTCCAAAATTTCATATGAAAATCCATACCCCTAAGACACTTGCAAACACTCATACTCATAACATAGATATTTACCTTTACACACACACATAGATATGTATATTTGTACGTGCAAATATCTTTATTTTCATGCCTTCGTTTTCATCTCTCCCTCTCTCTCCCCCCTTTCATCTCGACAATTTTACAGATTTTGCAAGATATGATGATAGAAATTGACTATGATGCCGATGGCACCGTCTCCCTGGAAGAGTGGCAACGTGGCGGCATGACAACGATACCTTTATTGGTGCTATTAGGTAAGTTATGTGGAAAATCAAACGAAGACGAACAAGAAGATGGTGTAGGTGTATGAGAAGCATAAGATGATAAATATATTCTGTTGGAACAGCTTAACAAGAGTAGATATTTAGTAGAATATGAGAAAATACTGATGTTCTGAATTCCAAGAATTTTGAAATAATTTATTCGAATGAAATAAGAAAATGCGAAAATTATTTGTGCCAAAAACAAGGTCTTCTAGTTTCAGAGAACCCCCAGTAATTTAGATATTAAAACTAAAAGAGCCAAAAAAAGCAGTAAAGGCGAGAATACATAAAACGTTTTTGGGACTGGGGTAAGTCATCGGCGTTCTTCTTCGTAGAATATCAACGAAGTTTTAGGTTGATCTAGTTCGATTTTGGACCTAAGCTTCTTTGTTATTTTCCGAAGAAGCCAGTCAAAAAAGCTTTTTATGTATTCACACCTTAAGTTCGGCCGGACCGAACTTTGAATACCCTCCACCATTCGGAAAAAATTTGGAAATTAAAAAAACACATTGAAAAATTCTGTTTAAAACCATAAAAATACCGAATATATAGAGATACCGTTTCATGGCGGCTATACGAACACCTGGACCTGCATAGGCAATTTTCCTAGTAGTACCCGTTACTAACTGCAAATACGAAATTTGCCACAATTCAGGTGAAAAATATCCCGAATTTAAGGATTTACCGTTAAATGGGTGCTATACGAAGTCGTGGACCCGCACAGTCAATTTTCTGTTATAGCTTTAAGTACCAATTAGGAATTTCAAATACGAAATGTTACACAATTTCGGTGAATAATGCAGCTAAAATCATCAAAATACCGAATATAGGGCCTATACGAAGACCTGGACCTCCATAGGCAATTTTTTGTCGCCGGGTGTAGTACCCATAACCAACTACAAATACGAAATGTGAAGTACCATCAAATTTTATCAACCTCCTCCAATTCGTTTGGAAGCTAGAGTGTTTTCTACAGACGGACATCGTTAAATCGACATAGAATTGTATACTTTGTGGGGTCTAAAATATATATTTCGAGGTGTTACAAACGGAATGACAAACTTAATATACGCTCCATACTATGGTGCACCGTATAAAAAGGCCTATAGGACATTTTCCGATAGAGAAAGAATTACGATTTTGGAATTGGATTAATTCGAATTTCATCATTCTCGAATTCCAATTGAAATCATACGAATTACATTTTGAATTTTCGAATTACAATTCGAATTACAAATATTATTCTCAAATATTAATACATCTGAAAGAGGAGTGTATTCATCGAAAACATTCTGAAAACCTTTAATATAGACTTTCTAATGACCCTCCACAGGGAAAAGTTTTCCATAGAACCTTTTGTTAGAGAAAATCGTCTGTTGTGGAAGGAAGGTTGGAGGCCTTCTAAAAATAGAAAGCTTTCCAAAAGCTTTTTTTAATAGGCAGCAGATCTTGTAAATGTCCTTCAGAGACAGGAGACCTTCTTCAGGTCCCTTTTTTGGACAGAAGGCGTATAGACTGAAGAGAGACTGGAGAAGCCTTAAAAGATCTTTTGTTTATAAAAAGCTTTTGAAAACTATTCTGTTTTAGAAGACATCCAAATATACTTACTCTTTTAGGAGGTTTCCAGAAAGTCTTCTGTGACCAAAATCTTCTAAAGGTCTTCCACAGTGAGAAGGCTTACAGCAGTTTTTTTTCTGTTAACATAATGCCTACCAAATCCCCTCCATGGACGGGAGACCTGTTGAAGCGTTTCTATAGAGACGACCGCTGCTGACGGTTTTTTATGCAAAATGAAACATTTTGTCCAGAATACCTTTGGCAAGTATTCTATTGACAGAAGACCTTCCGCAGGACTTATAAAAAACGGAAGTTTTCCCCATGAACTTTTAGATGCAGAAGAATATCAAAAGGGTATGCAGTTCCCTTCAAGATCTAGCTTTAATAGACAGAACCTTCCCGGAGGTATTCTATAGGAAGAAAACCATCCGAAGGTTTTCTATTTTATGGTAAGAATGCCTTATATAGGAGACCTCTGAAGGTAATTTAATGGAAGAAGAAGACACTTGAAAGCTATCTGCAGATGACACTTGTAGGTATTCTCTAGACATTAGACCCCCTGAAAGATTTCTACAGGAAAAACCCCTTTTTAAATGTCCTCTAGACAAAAATTCTAGGTTGTCTTCCCTCCAGGGAGACCTTCCGTAGGACTTCAGTAAAGATAAGGCCTTCGGAAGGACTTACATAAAAAGGAATCTCTCAAAGACAGGAAATCATTAGAAGTTCTTCTACAGACCTTCTGAAGGGGTTCTATAAAATACAACAATTTTGAGGCCTTCTATCGGCACAAGGCAGGGTATTCTGTTCTCTTTAAGGTCTAGCTTCCATAGACAGAATCTTTCCAAAGGTATTTTATAGAAAGAAGGTTGTCCGAGGACCTATATGACAGGAGAGATACTGAAGTTCTTCTTAAGTAAAATTTATTTTTGTATACAGTAGATCTCTGATTGTAGTTTATAGGAAATGGACTTTCTAAAGATCTTTTACGGAAGGCTCTTAAAAGTATTCTACAAATGACCCATGAAGGTATTCCCTTAAGGGGTTCTATAAAATACGACATTTTAGAGGTCTTCTATAGGCACAAGGCAGGGTGTTCTATTCTCTTCAAGGTACACTCAAGAGTATTTTAGTCCCCTCAAGGTCTACCTTCAATAAGCGGAATCTTTCCAATGGTATTCCATGAAAGAAGTTCATGCAAAGGTTTATTTTAGGTTTCCAAAAAAAGGCATGTAAAAGTCTTCTACAGGTGACTCTTGAAGGTATTACCTAGACATGAGACCCCCTGAAAGTCGTCGAAAGGCGAAAGAGCCTTCTTCGAAGCAAAACACTCCTTTCGTAGCTTTTTAAGTAATAGACCTTCGGAAGGCCTTCTCTGGGCAAAAGCCAGTGTATTCTATTCCCCTCAAGGCCTACCATAAATAGGTTCTTCCCAATGATATTCGATAGGAAGAGGACTATCCAAGGGCTTTCTATGACAGGTGATCTACTGATGATCTTTTTTACTGGGATTGCCTTCTATATATAGCAGACTTCTGAAGAAAGATGACCTAAAGGCCTCCTAAAGTTTTTTTGCAGAAGACACTTGAACGTCCTCCGCACATGATCTTTGAAGGTAATTCCTAGAGCCCCTGAAAGTATTCACATGCAAAATACCCTGTTTATACCCTCAGCCATATGGCTACATAGGTTATATCTCATTTGATACTGACAAAACGTGCGTAATCAAAATAACGGTTTTAGACCCCAGGTCTCTTTGGACCATTTCTTTGGACCATTCATTTAAGAATATTTGAAGGCGATCTAGTGTGTCCGTCCGTTTGTTTATCTGGCTGGCTGTTGAAGAGAGCATCCGATTTAGATCTAGTTCGGAGATGGACAATATTGGTTCACTCCTTTTGGTACCTCCCCAACAAAAGCTCAACATTTTCACAGAAAAAAATGACCTAATAGTACAAGAAAGGATAATCCGATTTTGTGCCAACTTTTCTAATCTTAATGATTTCATGAATCCTGGGCCAGATGCAAAAATGGGCAATATGGTCCTTCATCGAGAATCTTCCTATAAAGGATGAACATTTTTTGTATAGACAGAGCCGTTTTATTAGTTTTCTATGGAGAGAAAGCTTTTTGCACGTTTTCTACAGACAGAAGATCACTTATAGATCTTCTATACACATGAAGACGTGTGACAGATGTTCTGTAGACAGAAGCCAGTGTATAGATCTTCTATAGACTTAAGACAGTCTTCTCTAGACTAGAGGCCGTAGACTGAAATTCTTCTGAAATTTGCTCCCTAGCCCCTTATAATGGCTTCCTCCAGACAGCCAAACTTCTGAAGGTCGTCATTGATCTGCTGAACCCCAGACTTACCCTTTAATCCACCCCCATATCTTGTGGTAATATTGAGTTATTTTAGTAAATTAAAGACATGTCCCCGTTTTTTTTAATTTTTTTTTTTTTGTGGCTCTGTCATGAAACCCCTTAGTCATATACGACATAGGAAACAACTTCATCCCTCCGTTGCCATCAAGTGCATAACGCAAACTCACTTAAGATGAGAACCAATAATCTCCAGACACATATACGTGTACCTAAGAACACTAGCAACCAAACACACCTTTAACGCCCAAACAGAATAAAGAAATTTTCTTATTTTCCTTCGAAAGCAACTCTTTAATACTTCAAAAGCAAAGGAGTACTGCAGACTTGTGTATACTGCAACTTCCTTGGTTGCTGCTAACAATCTGAAGAATCTTAATCGTTATTTCCAGCACCAGGCAAGCAAGTAACACACCAACACATGTTGGTGACAAGAGCCATTTTTTGCTGGTAATGCTTTTTCAAGTACAGGAAATTGTGCTGGAGTTTTTTTCTCAGTTGTAGTTTTTTTCTATCCTGGAGAAAAATGGGAAAAGATGTTTTAATTTGGTTTTTGGAAATTTAATATTAACGAGTTTTATTTGAGATTTTATTTTAAAATTTAAGAAAATTTCGAAATAATTTGTATTTTTTGTTTTTTTCTTTCAGGAGTCGATAGCACCGCTCTAAAGGAGGATGGCAACCACGTTTGGCGTTTGAAGCATTTCAAGAAGCCTGCCTATTGTAATCTCTGCCTTAATATGTTGGTTGGCTTGGGCAAAAAGGGTCTCTGCTGTGTATGTAAGTATTAAGGAGGATGGCTCTTCAAAGAAAATGTTTCTGAAATATTCGACTATTGTAGCACATAGAGTCCTTAGCGAATATTCTAAAAAAGTCTACGATTATGGCCAAAGATTGCAACTCAAACAGTCCTTGAAAAAATATTCCAAATATCAAAGAAATAGTCCCAAAAATATATATCTCGAAATTTCGTGAAATCATCCCACAGGAAGTCCTATCACAAAAATTTCTCTAGAAATCTCCTGAGTCCCAGACAGGTGGGTTCTCACAAAAATGTCTATATCTGTGGAGACTCACACAAGTGTGGACCCCCACACAGGTGGGGTCTCACAAAAATTTCTATAGAAATCTGTGGAGACCCACACAGGTGTGGTCTCACAAAAATTTCTATAGAAATCTGTGGAGACCCACACTGGTGAGGTCTCACAAAAATTTCTACAGAAATCTTTGGGGACCCACACAGGTGAGGTCTCACAAAAACTTCTATAGAAATCTGTGGAGACCCACACAGGTGGGGTCTCACAAAAATGTCTATAGAAATCTGTGGAGACCCACACAGGTGGGGTCTCACAAAAATTTCTATAGAAATCTGTGGAGACTCACACAGGTGGGGTCTCACAAAAATTTCTATAGAAATCTGTGGAGACCCACACAGGTGGGGTCTCACAAAAATGTCTATAGAAATCTGTGGAGACCCACACAGGTGGGGTCTCACAAAAATTTCTATAGAAATCTGTGGAGACTCACACAGGTGGGGTCTCACAAAAATTTCTATAGAAATCTGTGGAGACCCACACAGGTGGGGTCTCACAAAAATATCTATAGAAATCTGTGGAGACCCACACAGGTGGGGTCTCACAAAAATTTCTATAGAAATCTGTGGAGACCCACACAGGTGGGGTCTCACAAAAATTTCTATAGAAATCTGTGGAGACCCACACAGGTGGGGTTTCACAAAAATTTCTACAGAAATCTGTGGAGACCCACACAGGTGAGGTCTCACAAAAATTTCTATAGAAATCTGTGGAGACCCACACAGGTGAGGTCTCACAAAAATTTCTATAGAAATCTGTGGAGACCCACACAGGTGAGGTCTCACAAAAATGTCTATAGAAATCTGTGTGGGTCACAGGGATGTCTCCAAAAAAAATGTCTATAGAAATCTGTGGAGACAAACACAAGGAGGTCTCCTAACAAATTGTATAAAAATCTGTAAAGACTCACAACATTTCTATAGAAATCTGTGGTGACCCACACAGGGAGATCTCACAAAAATGTATATAGAAATCTGCGGAGAACCTCAAAGGGAGGTCTCAAAAAAAAGTCTATTAAAATCTGTGTAGATCCACCCAGGGAAAAAATCCGCGAAATAGTCCTTGAAAAATACTCCTAACAGCAAAGAAAAAATCCTAGAAAATAATTCGTGAATTTGTCCTTTAAAAAAATTCCAAAAATCCAAGAAATATTCTTGAAATAGTCCTTAAAATGTTGTTAACGAATCTTCAAAATTAACAATTGATTCCTATTTTTTTTTTACCCCGCTCTCATCTTACTTATCTTCTTTTTCTATTTTATCCTTTAATTTTCATGCATATCCAATCAATCCCATCGATGATGACCAAACATCCAACCCACCACCCCCTCACATCGCCAGTATGCAAGTACACCGTTCACGAGCGTTGCGTACAACGTGCCCCGGCCTCTTGTATAACAACATATGTCAAATCGAAAAAGGTCAAGGGTGGTGGCGATCTCCTGCATCACTGGGTCGAAGGCAATTGCTATGGGCACTGTTCGAAGTGCCGTAAACGCATCAAGGCATATCACGGCATCACCGGTCTCACGTGTCGATGGTGTCACATGATGGTAAGTTTGCAATAAATCTTTCTGATTTTTTTTTTTTTCAATGTCGCTGTTATTGTTGTTGTCGTTGTATGAGTTTTTCCAGCAATTTTTCCATTCATTTTCTTTTGCCACACCTGACCAAACTTAATTAAAACACAACGAGGCCCCAATCAGATAGTGGTGGGAGAGGAACGGAGGGGGGGGAGGGGAGGTGCTACCGTTCGATGCTCAATGTCATTTACAAAATTGGCATAATTAAATTGAAATGCCATTGGTGTGGCTGCTGCATTGCCTCAGTCGAGAGATTGAAGAGGCTTCCCATCATTTGCCAGTTGGAAGTCTCAAAAATTTTGTTGGAAAATCACGTTTTGCTTAAATCCTTTAAAGTACGCAAAAATCTACAGGACATGCAATGTTAAGTTATTAATATCGAATGTAGTTGGAGAGTCACACACAGATGCTCTCGCAAAGCAGAGAACAGACTAAAGTATTCGAGTGCCTGCCAAAGTAATGTTGTCTTAATGACAACATTCATAGTCAAATGTAGACTCGAAAAGGTGAACCAAAAGAGAACATCCTTAAATCAAAGTTAGTTTTTCCATGGAAGGCCGGTTAAAGGTCTTCTCTCCATAGAACCCCTGTTAAGGATCTTCTCTCCCTAGAAAACCTGTTAAAGGTATTCTCTCCCTAAAAGACCTTTTAAAGGTCTGTTAAAGGTATTCTCTTGAAATATCTCTCCAAATCTCTCTCTTTAAATCTCTCTTAAAGGTCTTCGCTCCATTGAAGACCTGTTAAAGTTCTTCGCTCCATAAAAGATCTTCTCTCCATAAAAGATCTGTTAAAAGGTCCTCCCTCCATAGAAGACCCGATAAAGATCTTTACTCTACAGAACCCCTGTTAAAGGTCTTCTCCTCATAAAAGGCCTCCTAATAGTCTGCTCTGTGAAGACCCACACAGTGGTCTCACAAAAAAATTCTATAGAAATCTGTGGAGACTCACACAGGCGGTCTCACAAAAATTTCTATAGAAATCTGTATAGACCCACAGAAATCTGTGGAGACCCACACAGGGGGTCTCACAAAAATTTCTATAGAAGTCCGTGGAGACCCACTGTGGGTCTCACACAAATTTCTATAGAAATCCGTGGAGACCCACTGTGGGTCTCACACAAATTTCTATAGAAATCCGTGGAGACCCACTGTGGGTCTCACACAAATTTCTATAGAAATCCGTGGAGACCCACTGTGGGTCTCACACAAATTTCTATAGAAATCCGTGGAGACCCACTGTGGGTCTCCCCAAAAATTTCTCTAGAAATCCGTGTAGAACCCCTGTGGGTCTCACAAAAGTTTCAATAGAAATCTATGGAGACCCTCTGTAGGTCTCCCAAAAATTTCTAAAGAAATCTATGGAGACCATCTGTGGGTCTCCCAAAAATTTGTATAGAAATCTATGGAGACCCTCTGTGGGTCTTCCAAAAATTTCTATAGAAATCGGTGGAGAACCACACAGGGGGTCCCACAAAAATTTCTATAGAAATCCGTGTAGACCCCCTGTGGGTCTCCCCAAAAATTTCTATTGAAAACCGTGGAGACCCTCTGTGGGTCTCACAATAATTTCTATAGAAACCTGTGGAGACCCTCTGGGGGTCTCACAAACAATTCTATAGAAATCCGTGGAGACCCTCTATGGGTCTCACAAAAATTTCTATAGAAATCTGTGGAGGGGCCCTCTGTGGGTCTCACAAAAATTTCTATAGAAATCTGTGGAGACCAAGGGAGGTCTCACACAAATGTCTATAGAAATCTGTGGAGACCCACACAGGGGGGTCTCACAAAAATTTCTATAGAAATCTGTGGAGACCCACACAGGGGGGTCTCACAAAAATTTCTATAGAAATCTGTGGAGACCCACACAGGGGGGTCTCACAAACATTTCTATAGAAATCTGTGGAGACCCTCTGTGGGGTCTCACAAACATTTCTATAGAAATCTGTGGAGACCAAGGGAGGTCTCACACAAATGTCTATAGAAATCTGTGGAGGGACCCTCTGTGGGTCTCACAAAAATTTTTATCGAAATCTGTGGAGGGACCCTCTGTGGGTCTCACAAAAATTTCTATAGAAATCCGAGGAGACCCTCTGTGGGTCTCACAAAAATTTCTATAGAAATCCGAGGAGACCCTCTGTGGGTCTCACAAAAATTTCTATAGAAATCCGAGGAGACCCTCTGTGGGTCTCACAAAAATGTCTATAGAAATCCGAGGAGACCCTCTGTGGGTCTCACAAAAGTTTCTATAGAAATCCGTGGAGACCCACACAGGGGGTCTCACAAAAATTTCTATAGAAATCCGTGGAGACCCACACAGTGGGTCTCACAATAATTTCTATAGAAATCCGTGGAGACCCTCTGTGGGTCTCACAAAAATTTCTATAGAAATCCAAAAAATTTCTATAAAAATCCGTGGAGACCCTCTGTGGGTCTCACAAAAATTTCTATAGAAATCCGTGGAGACCCTCTGTGGGTCTCACAAAAATTTCTATAGAAATCCGTGGAGACCCTCTGTGGGTCTCACAAAAATTTCTAAAGAAATCCGTGGAGACCCTCTGTGGGTCTCACAAAAATTTCTAAAGAAATCCGTGGAGACCCTCTGTGGGTCTCACAAAAATTTCTATAAAAATCCGTGGAGACTCACACTGAGGGTCTCACAATCTGTGGAGACCCTCTGTGGGTCTCACAAAAATTTCTATAGAAATCCGTGGAGACCCTCTGTGGGTCTCACAAAAATTTCTAAAGAAATCCGTGGAGACCCTCTGTGGGTCTCACAAAAATTTCTATAAAAATCCGTGGAGACCCTCTGTGGGCTTTCACAAAAATTTCTATAGAAATCCGTGGAGACTCACACTGAGGGTCTCACAATCTGTGGAGACCCTCTGTGGGTCTCACAACAATTTCTATAGAAATCTGTGGAGACCCTCTGTGGGTCTCACAACAATTTCTATAGAAATCTGTGGAGACCCTCTGTGGGTCTCACATAGAAGAGGTCTCTTGTCTGTAGAATACCTTTTAAATGGTTTTGCCTTCAAAAGATCTTTAAAAATTCTTTCTTCTATTCAATACCATGGGAGACCCTCTCATGTAGGGGAGACATGTAATAAGTCGTTTTGTTTCTACCCCACCCTGTTGCCTTCGTTATGTCTCACTTGAAGTTTTCCTCATTTTTCCGTTGTTATTTCCTTTCATGTTTTTTTTTTTTTTGTTTCTTCGATTTGCTATCCATTAAAGTCTATGGCAAAATGTTATCCTTTGACACCGCATAATAACAATAACAGGAGCAGCAACAGCAACAAAAACAGCATCAACAACAAGGACTTCCTTCCCAAATGCAGACTTTATAGTTGGGATTTTTGTATTATTTCCGCTTAAATTGTCAATGGGAAAATTGTCACGTATTTCCATTGAATTCGAAACAAAAAAAAACACAAAACGTGAAGGGGGACGAACAAATGATGTTTTGAAAACCCAATAAACCGAAAAACAATAATAACAACAACAACAACAACAAAAAGTGTGTCAAAGAAAACAACAACGACCAGCATGAGTTCATTGTGCCATCAGTGGTATTACATTTTACGTTTTGGGCATAGCAATGCCATGGCTTAACAAGAAATGGGCTTGTTTATCCCTCTCCTACTCCCTTTCTTTACAGCTACAAAAGCTGAGAGGGGCCTGTAAGGCTTTGCGAATAGTTGAGGTTTTTTTATGGTGCCCCTCTATCCACAGCGCCCAGGATTTAGCTGCAATAAAAGTAAAAAGGAATTTTCAGTTTTTTTTTTTATTTTTTTTGTTAAAGCGTTTAACAATTGTTATTGTTTTGTTTTTTTTTTTGTCTTGAAAAAGAAATATGCTGCTGATTTTACAAAATATTGTGGCCTTCCTTTCAATATGTTTCCTTACTGTCTTCGATTTTGCTCGCCCCTCCCTTTTCTCTTCCCCAATCTATTGTTTATTTAACAAGTTGTCTTCTCGTTTCTTTGATCAAATTTATTGTTTTGTTTCCTTTTTGTTTTGTTTTGCCGCTGTAGGACCTGTTATTCGTTAGCCATTCCCTGACTAGTTCCTTGGCTGGTTGGCTGCCATGACTACTTTATCACGTCGTTGAGCGGTGCCACCTAAAGGAGAGCACGCACCGTCTATTTCGACAAAAGACAATTTTGTACTTTCCAATTCCAATATTTTGTTAAGAACGTAATTTGACAATAATAAAAACGTGTTAAGCGTAAACAAGCGGATTCGAATGTAACAAGTGACACGCCAGCCGATGCCATATGGAGGTGTTGGAGCGGAAGGGATGCTATGGGGTGGGGGAATGTAAAAGCAGACAATAGAAAGACAAGATAGTTTCTTTTTTAAAGTTATTCGATTTTAGTTTCGTGGTGATGGACACAAGCACCATCCCACCCCCCTCCTCGCCATCTTAGAAGATATTTACAGAACATGTTGTGTAGCTATTCTCTCAAAGCAAAAAAGGCTTTTCTAAAATTTCACAATTTTTTGAAAGTTTTATTTATTTTTTAATGCCCTCAGCCATATGGCTAGAGAGGGTATATATCATTTGATACGATCAAAACGTGCCTTGCCGAAATAACGGTGCAAGACCCTAGGCCTCTTTGAACCAAATCCGTTTGGTCAGGATATTTGGAGTCGATCTAGCAATGCCCGTCCATCTGTCTGTCTGGCTGCTGTGCACAATGACCCTCGAAGAGAGTTTTCGATTTGGTCCAAACTTGGTGCATCGTAATATTATTGAATATCCATGAAGGTCATAAAACTCGAAAATAACATCCGATTCCATTCAGACTTGGTACATCTCAATATTTTCATCAACACAAGATGTGTTATAAAGATGGTAGATATCGGACCATTCTTTCTGGTACCTCACCCTCAAAAGGCTATAGTTTTTAAAACGATTATAAAATCCGAAATAAGCATCCGGTTCTCTTCATATTTCGCACATCCCATTATTTCTACAAACACAACATCTGCTGTGAAGATGGTATATATCGGTCCACTCCTTGTGGTACCTACCCCACAAAAGATCGAAATCTTAAAAAAAAATTTACTGCACAGAAATAGAAAAGATAATCCGATTTTGCTCCAAGTTTGCAAATCCTAACATTTACATCAGTGCTAGGTTACGTTCGCAATATCGGTCCACTCCATTAAGTACCTCCCCTACCAAGGGTCAAAATTGAAATAATTACAACTCTCAACTCTCAAAATCTAACGCCAAAAATTTTATTTTTTTTTTAATAATTTTATTGAAGGAATGCAAAAAAATGTCGGAAATAGCTTCAAATTTTAGTAAAGTTTAGATTTATGGCCTTCAAATGGCCAATGAAACCGTCACACGCTGCCCGAATGTTGCACTGCGGTATTTTGGCCCATTCCCCTTGGTATTTTTTAGTGCCAACCTTGCTTTCCAAAATACTCCTGACACAATAGTCCAACAGATTGGTATCCGGAGATTTTGGTGGCCATTGTGTGCTGGAAATGAAGCGAGGAACCTCATTTTGTAACCATTCTTGGTGGCGCGTGCTGAGTCCCGTTGGAATGTCCAAGGTCTGCGGCTAAAATGTTTGCGTGTCCAAGGCTTTAATACACCCTCCAGAATAATTTCGCGATAATATTCGGTATTTATTCGACCGTGGCATCAGGTCGATTAATACGAGCGGAGAGCGACCATCGGCTGTTATGGCGGCCCACACCATCACCATGGCCGGCGCTTGAGTTCTGGTGGCCAACCGAAGGTGCACATTTTCAGCTGACCTCTTTGGCAGATAAACACGATAATTTTGATTGTTTACAAACTGCTAGACAACGAATGTTTTCTCATCGGAGAGTGAGAAAACCAAATTCGGCAGTTCACCACTCTCGGTCAAGCGAAGTAACTCTTTAGCTCTTTTGAGTCTATTTTCTTTCTGTTGCCGTGTAAGTTCTTGCACTTTTTGGAATTTCAATGGCTTTACCCCGAGCTCGTTTTTCATTATTTGCCGAATGGAATATTGCGATATGTTCAGCTCACGAGTCATTTTTCGGCCACTGCGATGAGGGTTTCGATAAGGTCGCTTCTTTACTTTTCGAACAATTTCTGCTGACGTTGCTGTTTTCTTCCGTCCACTTTCTTGACGTAGGGCTACGCTACCAGTATCACGTCAACGAGCTATGGTACGAGACACAAAAGATTTATTCACATTTAAATGCTGGAGTGCTCTAACGATAGCCACTTGTGGTTTTCCAGCTAAATATAAAGAAATCACACTATCACGCTTGAATTCCACCACAAATAATTTTTTTCTCTGGAAAATGCCCACAAAGATGCTTTTGTGCGCTTGTAAACAATATAATGAGCAGTCACTGGAATAATTTTAACAGCTGTCGGACGAGTGGCTTAGATATGACAGCAGTCTGAAGTTTGTTGCAGTTTTTTCATCTCACCCTGTAAATCCTATTTATTTAGGTCCGAGACCAAATTGACAATATTGGTCCATTCCTTTGGAACCTACTCCGTAGAGGGTCAATAATATGAATAATCATAACAGAAGTCAGAATATATTTAAATAATCGAACATTGGCTAAGGGTATACATCTGTCGAAAAAACCGAACGAAACTTTTTAACTTGTCGTTATTATATTTATTTATTTTTTTATTTTTAATTACTTATTTTTAATTTTATTTATTTATTTTTATTTATTTATTTATTTTTTTTTATTTGAAGACCTTTTAAATTTTTTGAACTGTTTTAAGTGTTCTCCATAAAACCAAATCGGTTGTCTCTAAGTTTATATGCCCTAAAGAATTATTTTCAAAACCATTTAAACTTAATTAAAACCCCTCCCATTGAGCCCTCCATACAATATCCTTTATTCGAAACCTTAAATTTGCCATGGCAATGATTAATTCAATTTGACACGTGTACAAATACCAATACAACTCCATCTCCTCTCGCTCTCTCTCTCTCTCTCTCTTTCTCACTACCTCTTCAACGAAATGTTAACAAAATGTTTGATGTTGTTGATTAAAATGTATCCAAAAAAAATAAATAAATAAAGAATACACAATAATGAGAATTCATTGAATTCAAATGAATTTTTCAATACCAACTGGCTTTTTGTCAAATTATTTAAACTTAAACAACTTAACGGAGAGCTTATCTTAAATGAAAATTGACTTTGTTTACATTTACATTTTCCCACTCCCTCCCTCTATCTCTCGCTCTCCCTCTCTCATCAAACACAGAGTCTTTATTTATTCTTCTTCTTTTCATTTTCTTTATTACAGTTACACAATCGCTGTGCCTCCTCCGTGAAAAAGGAATGTTCGCTGGGCGAGTACGCCGAATTGATAATACCACCCACTTCCATATGCCCGGCCGTATTGGATCGTCAACGTTCCGTTAATCAAGCAAACAAGGTAAATGAAATGCGCTTAAAAATTGTTGCTATAGCTCAAGGCAATGTCAAATATTTTACATCACTACACACATACATACATATATACACGCACATATGCAGAGTAAATGTAAATAAGACAGAGATGGACAGTATGTTTCAATACAAATCCCTACTCTTAATGGGAAGAGTAAGCAATTGTCTCTAGGGAGAGAATATGAATAAAAATCTTTCAGGAGGTCTTCTTGAAATTGAAGTCCTTCTGCAGGTATTACATTGGTAGTTTTTATGCCTTCTATAAATGAAAGAGATTATGTAGATTTGATATAAAAGGGAGTTCTTTTGAAGACTTCTAAGAGTTCTTATTTCTCCAGATGTAAGGCCTTTCGAGGTCTTCTATAGATACAACGCCTTTTAGATGGTTTAAGAGATTCAAGGCCTTTAGAGGCCTCCTTTGAGACAGGTCTTACTAGATGAATGACCTATTAGAGGCCATATTTAAAAAGAGACTTTATTATCCAGCTAGAGACCATTAAGGTCTCCTCCAATAGACAAAATTCCATTCTAGGGAAATACACTGTCCATCCCTATATAAGTCTGTTTTGGAGCTATCTATAAATAGAAGTCCTCAAGGGATATATTAATTTTTTTACGGAGCTTTTTTTTAAGATCCTTTGGTAAAAATTCGATTGAAACTCCTATGTAGATAAAAGTCTTTTTTTTAGCTCTTCTGGAGCTCTTCTAAAGATAGAAGTTACAGTCCTTACCTTAAGTCCTTTTTTATATGCCTTCCGTTTGGTGGCCTTCTATAGAGAGGATACTCTTAGAAATCTTCTAAGTATATGAGAAATCTGAGAGGTCTTTCAAAGACCTTAACTAAAGAAGACCAATAAAAGGCCTGAATTTTTAGAAACTCTATAAAAGGCATTGTATCCATAGATGGACTCAAAAAAATCTTCCACCTGTAGACCATTTGTTTATAGAAGATTTCTAAGAGTATCCTCTCTATAGAAGGCCACTAATCGGAAGGCATATAAAAAATGACTTAAGGTAAGGACTGTAACTTCTATCTTTAGAAGAGCTCCAGAAGAACTAAAAAAAAAGCACTTTTATCTACATAGGAGTTTTAATCGAATTTTTACCAAAGGATCTTGAAAAAAAGCTCCGCAAAAAAAATTAATATATCCCTTGAGGTCTTCTATTTATAGATAGCTCCAAAACAGACTTATATAGGGATGGACAGTGTATTTCCCTAGAATGGAATTTTGTCTATTGGAGGAGACCTTAATGGTCTCTAGCTGGATAATAAAGTCTCTTTTTAAATATGGTCTCTAGTAGGTCATTCATCTAGTAAGACCTATCCCAAAAGAGGGCCTCTAAAAGGCCTTGAATCTGTTAAACACTCTAAAAGGCGTTGTATCTATAGAAGACCTCGAAAGGTCTTACATCTGGAGAAGGAAGACCTCTTAGTAGACTTCAAGCGAACTCCCCTCTATATCAAATCTATAAAATGTCTTTCATTTGTAGAAAGCATCTAAAAGAACTTCTACTCATGCAAGACCTGCAGAAAGACATCTATCACAAGAAGAGCTCCATAAGGATTATTTTTCGTAGAAAGCCTAAACATTATTTATACCTATTAAAGAAACCCAAATGGACTTCTATCTGTAGAAATTCTCAAATCGGAATCTTAAGTATTTTCTGCATATGAAAGACCTCCTAAAGGTCTTCTAATGGAAAAAAAACTTTGATAGAGCATTTTCCAAAAGAAAACCTGAAAAAGAACCTCAATCTGTGGGAGACCTCCAAAAAATTTTTTTCCAATAGAAAAGCTTAAAAATATGTTTTCATTCCATACAAACCCTCTAAAAGGTTATATATCCGTAGAAGATCTCTAAAAGGACTAATATTTATAGAATACCTCAAAGCTAGCTTATTTTTCGAGAAGACCACCAACTTCTGCATAGAAGGCCTCAAAAATGGCTCTTGTCTGTGGCAGACTTTTGAAACGTGTTCTATCAATTGGCTGTTTTCCAGAAAGTCTTCCAAAGGAGTATATCGAAAAAGACCCCTAAGGACCTTCTATCAATAAAATAACTCTTAGGGGGTATTTTATTCCTAAAAGACCCCTTCTGTCAGTAGAAGATCTACAAAAGGTTTTCTATGCGTATTTAAAGGTCTTCTATCTACAAATAGCTGACCTTCACTTGGGCTCCTACCTACAAACACCATATACCTAAAGAAGACCTATAAAAAATATCCGAAGGGACCTTCAAATTACCCTCTATCTATCCCAAAAAGACCTCTACTGAATCTTTTGAGACCCAAGAAAATCTAAAAATTTGAAAAAAAACTTTCCAGAGAAATATATTAAGACTCACAAGGAGTCCATAAAAAACTGAAGAACCCAGAGGATTTGAAACCAAAATAAATATTGGAGAGAACTCCACGGAGCGTTAAGATATCATCCACAGATGGAAAAGGCTTGGGAGAATCACCCTGGTGTACTCCACAGTTTTCTATAGAAATTTTTCTGAATGGCCCACCTGATGGCATTCACAGATTTCTATATAAGTTTTTGGTGGTAAAAAAGGGGCCTCTGCGTGGGTCTCCACAGATTTCTATAGAAATTTTTGTGAGACCCCCCCCCCCTGTGTGGGTCTCCACAGATTTCTATAGAAATTTTTGTGAGACCCCCCCTGTGTGGGTCTCCACAGATTTCTATAGAAATTTTTGTGAGACCCCCTGTGTGGGTCTCCACGGATTTCTATAGAAATTTTTGTGAGACCCCCCTGTGGGGTCTTCACAGATTTCTATAGAAATTTTTGTGAGACCCCCCCTGTGTGGGTCTCCACAGATTTCTATAGAAATTTTTGTGAGATCCCCCTGTGTGGGGTCTCCACAGATTTCTATAGAAATTTTTGTGAGACCCCCCTGTGTGGGGTCTCCACAGATTTCTATAGAAATTTTTGTGAGACCCCCCTGTGTGGGGTCTCCACAGATTTCTATAGAAATTTTTGTGAGACCCCCCTGTGTGGGGTCTCCACAGATTTCTATAGAAATTTTTGTGAGACCCCCCTGTGTGGGGTCTCCACAGATTTCCATAGAAATTTTTGTGAGACCCCCCTGTGTGGGGTCTCCACAGATTTCCATAGAAATTTTTGTGAGACCCCCCTGTGTGGGTCTCCACGGATTTCTATAGAAATTTTTGTGAGACCCCCCTGTGTGGGTCTCCACGGATTTCTATAGAAATTTTTGTGAGACCCCCCTGTGTGGGTCTCCACGGATTTCTATAGAAATTTTTGTGAGACCCCCCTGTGTGGGTCTCCACGGATTTCTATAGAAATTTTTGTGAGACCCCCCTGTGTGGGTCTCCACGGATTTCTATAGAAATTTTTGTGAGACCCCCCTGTGTGGGTCTCCACGGATTTCTATAGAAATTTTTGTGAGACCCCCCTGTGTGGGTCTCCACGGATTTCTATAGAAATTTTTGTGAGACCCCCCTGTGTGGGTCTCCACGGATTTCTATAGAAATTTTTGTGAGACCCCCCTGTGTGGGTCTCCACGGATTTCTATAGAAATTTTTGTGAGACCCCCCTGTGTGGGTCTCCACGGATTTCTATAGAAATTTTTGTGAGACCCCCTGTGTGGGTCTCCACGGATTTCTATAGAAATTTTTGTGAGACCCCCCTGTGTGGGTCTCCACGGATTTCTATAGAAATTTTTGTGAGACCCCCCTGTGTGGGTCTCCACGGATTTCTATAGAAATTTTTGTGAGACCCCCCTGTGTGGGTCTCCACGGATTTCTATAGAAATTTTTGTGAGACCCCCCTGTGTGGGTCTCCACGGATTTCTATAGAAATTTTTGTGAGACCCTCCTGTGTGGGTCTCCACGGATTTCTATAGAAATTTTTGTGAGACCCCCCTGTGTGGGTCTCCACGGATTTCTATAGAAATTTTTGTGAGACCTGCCTTTGTGGGTCTCCACAGATTTCTATAGAAATTTTTGTGAGACCTCCCTTTGTGGGTCTCCACAGATTTCTATAGAAATTTTTGTGAGACCTCCCTTTGTGGGTCTCCACAGATTTCTATAGAAATTTTTGTGAGACCTCCCTTTGTGGGTCTCCACAGATTTCTATAGAAATTTTTGTGAGACCCCCCCCCCCCTGTGTGGATCTCCACGGATTTCTATAGAATTTTTTGTGAGACCACTCTGCGAAACTCCACAAATTACTAAAACATGCTTGTGAAACAGGCTATAGAAATTTTTAAAGATCCAACGAAATTTATGAAGATCCAAGTCTTCCATCAATAGAATAAGTTTTATAACCATAGAAGACCTCTAAACGGTCTGCAATTCACCGAATTTGTCTAGACTGTCTAAGATATAAATATAATTCTGTAAATACCCAAAGGAGTCGATAGAAAGATAAAAATTTAATGAAACTAAAAAATCTAATGGTCTTAAAAGAAGTCCTCCACAGCCTGTTTATCAGTAGACAGGACTTCAACCGATAGAAGATTTGCTTCCAGTAGAGTACCACCTTGACGATTTCTGCTTACATAAGCCCTTCCGAAAGGACATATTTCTAAACGACTCCGAAGATTTTTTCTAACAATGCTAAAGGATATTTTCTCTTACTGAAACACCTCTTCGAGTTCTGTTGTCTATATATCTTACTCATCTTACATCATTGCATATCTTCCTTGCCATATCCCCCTACATACATTTTCACCAAAAATCATTCCCATTCCCCACCATCATTTTTAACAAATCTCCCTCTAATCCCCTAACATCCCGCACCTTCTTTCTGCGGTTACATTTGTTGCACATAAATCCTTATGTTCATGGATCCTTGTTTCATTTTGGTTGCCCCTTTTCTAATTTGTAAAATTAAATTTCAGATTCAGATTCTGTTTACACTTCATCAATCCCATTACGTTTCTACAGCATTTTAAATATTAATTAAAACATATGTTTCTCTCCCCATGTACATGTGTGTGTGTGTGCGTCTATGATTGTATACTTTATGCCCTTTGTATGTGTCTATGCTTACGCTTGTCTCTCCATATCCATATGCCTTCGCCCATGTGTGTGTGTGCTCGTCCATATGCGTAAATATGCTTCCACTGTGCGCCCCTCCCCCCTTTTGGAATTTATAACTAACAGCAGAAATCTTCTACGTCTCTACTAAATAACGCCCAACAACAACAACAACAGGCAACACACTTCCAACTGACACCACCCAACGAAGGCAGCTGTCCCCTGTTGGTTTTCGTTAATCCCAAAAGTGGCGGACGTCAAGGTGATCGTATCCTGCGCAAATTCCAATACATGTTAAATCCACGTCAGGTCTATGATTTATCAAAAGGTGGACCCAAGGAAGGTAAGTTGTCATTCCGTAATGTAATTCTTTGTAATTCCTGGTTTTTTTGTTGAAAAATGCATAGAGCCATTTGAGAGAGGGAGGAAATGGGTAAATCTGTTATCCAGTTGTTGTAGATAAATGACTCCGCTCTCTGCATAAACTAAAAATGAAACATTTCTAATTTAATTTCAATTACTGGCACTTTTTACTATTCCAAGTTTGGAAATGAAGTCTTGCAATGATTGCCTTGGAAACGGGGGGTCTGGGAGGAGAATAGGCTTTTGTTTATTTATAGAGGGGAAAGAACTGGAAATTTTGTAAATTAAAAAGTTTTCTCATTTTAATTGAAATAGTTCTTCCACAACACTTGAGGTCTGTTTTCATGTGTGTGTGTGTGAGGGTGTGTTTGTTTGCTGTTAAACACATTTTGTTTGAGTTCATGGGAGCGTATGAGCAATGTTTTGGTTGTTATGCATCATACGCTGCGTAGGCAGCATGGTTAGAAGTTATTAGAAAATTACAAATAAAATAATGTGAGTCATTGTAGATGCCATTTGATACAAAAGAGTTGACTGTCGAGTTATATTTGAAAATCTCCATGAGCCGGTATTTGTAGCTAAATAGTATCAGTCGGTTTTGCCGACAGATGTATACCCTCAGCCAAAGTTCGATTATTTAAGTATATTTTGACTTCTCTTATGATTTTTCAAATTGTTGACCATCTATGGAATAGGTTCCGAACAAATGGGCCAATATTGTCCATTTCCTATCGGACCAAAATAAATATGATATAAATATTGTGACGTGCCAGGTTTGGACTATATTGGGTACTTCCTTCACTTTATATGAGATATGCGACATTTTTTCAGAAAATGTTCAATTGTGCGTAAATTGACAGATATAATCGACCGAAGTCTTCCAGGTATGGACAAAATTACCAGAAAATCGAACTTTTAGATCCAATTTTATCCGAAATCATAAATTCCATATTTATCCCAGGTTGACAAAAATAGTTAGATATTGCAACTTGTTTCGCAAGTTAAGACAGATAAAAGAACTGAAAATTGTGGCCCTCTGTGGATGAGATACCAGAAGGGGTTCGCAGATATATATATCATATTCATAACATATCTTGTGTTGATAGAAATATTCAGATGTACCAAATCTGAATGGAATCGGATGTCAATTTCGCATTTTATGAGCTTCATGGATATTCAAAATTTTGAACTTTTGTGGGGATGGTACCAGAAGGAGTGAACTGATATATCCCATCTTCACAACAGATCTTATGTTATTAGGAATAATGGTATGTGTGAAATATGAATAGAACCGGATGCTTATTTCGTATTTTATAATCGTTTTGGTTATTCAAAATCTTGACCCGTTTTGGAGGAGATACCAAAAGGAGTGAGCCGATAACTACTCTTCACAAGAGATCTTGGGTTAATAGAAATATTGAACGGTGCTTTGGAAAGAATCGGATGCTTATTTCGGTTAATCCGTAAATTTTGACCCTTTGTGGGGGAGGTACCACAAGGTACCAATTCTTACACCAGATTTTGTGTTGTTAAAAATATTGCGACGTGTGAAATTTGATGAGAACCCAATGCTTACTTCGCATTTTATGAGAGACATAATTATTCCAAATGTTGACCCTTTGTGGGGAAAGTACCAGAAGGAGTGGACCCATATATCACATCTTCATACCAGATCTTGTGCTACCAAAAATATTGTGATGTGTGTAATTTAAAGAGATCTGGATGCTTATTTCGGATTTTATGATCGTTTTGGTTATTCAAAATATTGACCCTTTTTTTTGGGAGGTACCAGAAGAAATGGTTCGATCTCTACCTACCTTTATAACAGATCTTGTGTTGATAGAAATATTGAGATTTGACAAGTCTGAATGAAATCGGATGTTAATTTCGTGTTTTTTTCGTTTGTACGGATATTCTAAATTTTGGACCTTTGTGGGGGAGGTACCAGAAGGAGTGGACCGATATATGCCATCTTCACACCAGACCATGGTGATGTGTGTAATTTGAAGACAATCGGATTTTTGAATCACATTTTATAAGAGTTTTAATTGTTCAAAATTTTGACCCATTGTGGGGGAGGTACTTGATGGAGGGGACCGATATTGTCCATTTTTGCACCTAACCTAGCATTTATGCAAATATTGGAATTTGCAATGTTGGAGCCAAATCGGATTATACTTTCTCTTTCTGTGCAGTAAATTATTTTCTTTGAAAATGTAGACATTTTGTGGGGAAGGTACCAGAAGGAGTGGTCCGATCTCTACCATCTTTATAACAGATCTTGTATTGATGGAAATTTAAAAATGTACCAAGTCTGAATGGAATCGGATGATAATTTCGTGTTTTATGAGCTTCATAGATATTTAAAATTTTGACCCATTGTGGGGGAGGTACCAGAAGGAGTGGACCGATTTGTCCCATCTTCGCACCAGACTATGGGTTAATAAAAATATTGAGATGTGCGAAATTTGCAGCAAATTATTTTCTTTGAAAATGTAGACATTTTGTGGGGAGGTACTAGAAGGAATGGACCGATATGGCCCATCTCCGAAATCGATCTAAGTTTGGCAATAATATTATGATATACCAAGTTTGGATCAAATCGGATACTCCCATCGAGAGTTATCGTGCGCACCAGCCAGCCAAACAGACGGACGGACATCGCTATATAGACTCGAAATGGTCCCAAGACACCTAGGGTCAAAAACGTTATTTCGATGAGGCACGTTTTGGCCATATCAAATGATATATACCCTCTCTAACCATATGGCTGAGGGTATAAACAAATTGAAACACTTTATTCATGGACAAGTTTCGCAAACCAGAATTTTCTCAAGAAATATACCTAAGGCACCAGTTTTCTATAGAAAATTACTGAGCCACGAATAACTGTATAAAATTGCATTTAGAAAATTATTCTCTTTTTTTCTAAAGAGAGTATTCCTACTCAAAATTGCTGGTATTTTTTTTATAAATTTTTTAAACAACAGATTTTTTTTGTTTTAAGAACTATTTCAAATGAGAAACTTGTGTGAACTTCAATGAATTTTCAATATCGAAATAATTCACACATTTCTTTAAACTTCATTTTTCCACCAAAACACATTTCCTCACATCTTCATTCCTTCAATTCTCCACAAAACGCCTTTCTTTCCAAAATTCTTCTTATTTTAGCCCATATCCTTATCTTCCATTAAACTAAGAAAAAAAATATCCTCCTTCTTCAATTTGCAATCGAAATAAAACTTCAATAAAAACCAATCCTCCCAAAAGGCTGAATGCGTTTGGCTTTGATTTTTATTATCCTTGATTTATGGTCTGTAAAAAATGCTTGTTTTATTCATTCATTCACTCTTTCTCTTTTTCTCTTTCTTTCTTTGTTTTTTATTCCTCTCATTTGGTTTTTCACAGGATTAACACTGTTTAAGGACTTGCCTAATTTTAAGGTAATTTGTTGCGGTGGTGACGGCACTGTCGGCTGGGTCCTCGAAGCCATGGGTAAGTTGAAGCTCCCTCTTTCTTTGTGTGTGTGTCCAAACAGCCACCAGCATTGCTCCTATGTGGCCACTTTTGGTCAAGTATTATTTGGTTTTTGCTTAAATGCCTGTGCCACCACTTTAAGCTGTGTTTGTTTGTTTGTTTGATTTTTTTTTCGTTTGGTTACTTTACGCCTCATTTTCGCCTCTTTTCGTTTGCGTACTCTCATCCCGGGCGGAATACCGTTTTATGCGTTTTGTAATGGTTTTGTTTCATTTTGGGTTTTTTTTTTATTCTTTTTCTTCTTCTACTTCCCCGTCCTTATGTTTCCGTTTCGTTTCACAGATTCCATTGAATTTGCCTCACAGCCGGCCATTGGTGTTATCCCCCTGGGGACTGGCAACGATTTGGCTCGTTGCCTGCGTTGGGGTGGCGGCTATGAGGGTGAGAACATACCCAAGCTGATGGACAAAATCCGTCGTGCCAGCTTAGTTATGCTGGATCGCTGGAGCATTGAAGTGACCAATAACCCCATCTGCGAGGAAATACCAAAACCAAAGGTAAGTGTTGAGAAATTGAATTGTTGTTGTTGGATTTTGTGGTGTCAGAGCGTAATTGGAGACGGTTTGCTGAGCGTCATGACTGACGTGACGTGTATTTACATGCGAAGAATTGCCACACTGGCCTGTATTTTGAGGCCGATCTTGGGGAGGTGTAAATAAGTTCTGAAGGGTTTCACAAGATGGATAAGGATCAGGTCGCCTTGTCAATGGGATTTTAATGGAAAAATTGCAAAATTTTTTTTTAAGAAAATTGGCGGTTTTCTCAGTTAACTGACATTTGTCTGGAAAAAGGACACTTTTCTAAGGGAAAAAGGTAGTTTCTATGGAAAAATGACAGTTTTCTATGAAAAAATTACAGTTTTCTATAGAAAAATTATAATTTTCTATAGAATTTTTTGAGAATTTCCTATAGAAAAAAATTAAAATTTCCTATAGAAAAATGAGAATTTAGAATAGAAAAATGACAGTTTTCTATAGAAAAATGACAGATCTATAGAAACACGACAGTTTTCTTTAGAAAATTTTTTTTTTTTTTAGAAAAAATTACAGTTTTCTATAGGAAAATTACAGTTAAACGATTAATTTTTAATTAGAATCTCATATAGAAAAAATGAGAATTTTCTTTAGAAAAAATTAGAATTTTCTATAGAAAAAATTAGAATTTTCCATTAAAAAATGAGAATTTCTATAGAAAAAATGAAAATTGAAAAAAAAAAATTTCTAAAGAAAATACTCATTTTTTCTTAGAAAATGCTCATTTTTTTATAGAAAATTCTCATTTTTTAATGGAAAATTCTAATTTTTTCTATAGAAAATTCTAATGTTTTATAGAAAAATTCTTCATTTTTTAATGCAAAATTCTAATTTTTTCTATAGAACAAATTGAGAAAAAAAAAATGAGAATTTTCTATAAAAAAATGAGTATTTTAAGAATTATCAATTTTCTTTCGAAAAAATGAGCTTTTTCTGTAGAAAAAAAATGAGAATGTTCTACAGAAAACAATGAGAATTTTCTATAGGAAAAAAATGAGCATTTTCTATAGAAAAAAAATTACCATTTTCTATAGAAAAAATTAGTATATTCTAAAGACAAAATGAGAATTTTCTATAGAAAATATGAGAATTTTCTAATTTTTTCTTTAGAATAGTCTCATTTTTTTCTATAGAATAATCTCATTTTTCCCATAGACAATTCTTATTTTTTTCTATAGAAAATTCTCATATTTTCTATAGAAAATTCTCATATTTTCTATAGAAAATTCTCATATTTTCTATAGAAAAAAAAGAAATTTCTATGGGAAAAAATGAGAATATTCTATAGAAAAAATGAGACTATTCTAAAGAAAAAATGAGAATTTTCTAAGCAAAAAATGAGAGTTTTCTAAGCAAAAATTTAAAATTTTCTATAGATAAAAATGAGCACTCTCTGTAGAAAAAATAAGAATTTTCTACAGAAAAATAAGAGAATTTTGTATAGAAAAGTGAGAGTTATATATTTCTATAGAAAAATAACAGATTCTATAGAAAAAATACAGTTTTCTATAAAAAAAAATGTCAGTTTTCTATCGAAAGACTACATTTTTCTATTGAAAATTTAAAATTTTCTATAGTAAAATTAGAGTTTTCTATAGAAAAATGAGAGATTTCTGTAGAAAAAGTGCAGTGCGGTGCAGAAATACTTTTTTTATGGAAAAATTTTCTTTAGAAAAATATTGTTATTCTATAGAAAATTCACGACATTTTGCTAAAACAAAAGATATTGGATTCTTAGTTTCCTACCGAAAAAGTCGGTTAGTAAACTGTTTACTATAGAAAAATGCCTTTTTGTTGAAGGTTCGCTACAGAAAAAAAAACTCATTTTCCAACAGTGTTCAGTAGTAAAATGTCATTGGTTACAAAAGCATCAGCGAATGTTTTCTATAGAAAACTGCAATTCTTTAACAGTTTTCAATAGAAAATTGGTAAAATTGTTGTTGATAACAGTTCCCTTTTGAATAAATTCCATTTTCAATATCATCTGTAAAATTTCGACAAAAAATAACCATGGCATTCTTAATGGTAAACCCCAAAACCTCAACTCTTCAAAACACATTCCCCACACCTCCGATTTCCCTGAAACCCGAAAGAAAAAAAATGTTTCTCAAATCTCTGGCAAATATTGACAGTCAATTGATTTCCTTACACTCTACCAAGTTAAGATCCTAAGGACAATTAACACTTGCCGCCACCTCCAGCTTCTAACCACTTTTATTGTTTTGTCCTCGACAGGTGACACTGCACTCCAACATGCAGAAGGTATTCGAATTGTCTCAAAGTGTGGTCGTCGAAAAATCCTTTATTGAGAAATGTGAAGAAATTCAACGCAGCGGCAGCTGCAGCACCAATCTCTACCATCACACACAGACCACGGCCAATGAAAGTCCTCCACAGGCCTGCGGCAGTCAGGGAGAGGAGGAAGGCAATAGAAGTTACGACATGGATGTGGACGTGGACGATGGTGCCGCAACGACATGCAAGACAACCAAGAGCATATCAATGTCGACATTTGAGACGAAGCGTTTGGCCTACAGTAGCCGGCAGGAAACAATGATCAGCTATTGTAGTAGTCCCACCACGTCCTGCAGCAGCACCGCATCGACCATACAACGACAGCAGCACCAACAACAGCAATGTGCCAAGACGATATCCACATCATTGCCACATGACCAAGGCAATCTGTCGGCAGCCAGCAATGATGCGGGGATGGAAGGAGAGGACGCGGCTGATACTGGCAATGGTCTCGACAATGGCCCACACGATCATAACGACTATGTCGGCGACCACAAATCAATGAACATAAACGGCAATTTGTCTGCAACCAACAACAACACCAACTCTCCACTCATGGCCAAAGAACATCTACAAGCCCAGCTGACGCCAACGAATGTGGTCAACCCAGCCACCTCCACTTCCAATGGAGGCATTCGTAATGAAGCATTTGTAATTAGTGAAAGTGAAACTGTACCTGATACTGAAACGGAGACTGCTTCTGCCGTTGCTGTCGATTCCGCCCCCTCCCCAGCTGCTGCTGGCATCGGATCAGCAACACACACACCCACACACAGTCCCACAACGCCCACACCCCGGCCAACAACATTGCCAGGCATCCCATCGCCCTCGCCCAGCCAAGGCTGTCGGACAACAACACCAACGCCCACAGCCGGTGACATGAAAACGTTCAACATTCCCCCGCAAAAGCCATTAAAAAGTCAGACCGAGAAGGACTGCACCGTGCCGTACAACATCATCAATAACTATTTCTCTGTGGGAGTGGTAAGTACAAATGATTGCCTTGATTCCTTGGAAGTATCCAAACACAGAGACCAAGAGTAAAAACACATATGGAAGGCATTTCATGTCTTGACATGCTCGTTTATTTGGTTGTTGGCTATTCGTGTTGTTGTTGGAAAGAAGTTTTGACAGAAATTAAATGGAACTACGACAACAACAACTCAATGGAGATGTATGGAGCATTTGTTAGAAAAAATATTTGGAGAGATCAAAATTTTTCTATACGGAAAATCTTTGGAGAGATCAAAATTTTTCTATACGGAAAATCTTTGGAGACCAAAAATTTTCTGTACGGAAAATCTTTGGAGACCAAAAATGTTCTATACGGAAAATCTTTGGAGACCAAAAATGTTCTATACGGAAAATCTTTGGAGACCAAAAATGTTCTATACGGAAAATCTTTGGAGACCAAAAATTTTCTATACGAAAAATCTTTGGAGACAAAAAATTTTCTATACGGAAAATCTTTGGAGACAAAAAATTTTCTATACGGAAAATCTTTGGAGACAAAAAATTTTCTATACGGAAAATCTTTGGAGAGACCAAAAATTTTCTATAGAGAAAATCTTTGGAGACAAAAAATTTTATTTGTGGAAAAATCTTTGGAGACCAAACTTTTTCTGTAAAGAAAATCTTTGGAGATACCAAAAATTTTTTTTCTACACAAAGAAAAATTTTAGAGACCAAAATTTTTGCCATACATAGAGAAAATCTTTGGAGACCAAAAATTTTCTACAGAGAAAATCTTTGGAGAGACCAATTTTCTATATGTTTCACCATTAGTGATGCCTTTTTATACCCTACACGATATAGTGGTAAGGGTATTATGTCTTTGTGCATTTGTTTGTAACATGGAGGAGGAAGCGAGATAGATCCCATAGTTATTTTTGAGGATCTTCATAGAATCACTTTCTGTGTCGATTTATGCATGTCAGTCCGTCCGTCATGTATTGTGAACAAAATGTAGGTCGCATTTATTATGCGATTGAGATGTAATTTTACAAACAATATTTGCTTGGCCCAAGGACGAACCCTATTGAAAATGGTGAGAATCGGCTCAAATTTAGATATAGCTCCAATACACTCCTCAACCGATTTCGGGTTAATTGCGCACAAAATGGTCAATTTCAGTCCAAATGGCCTGATTTTTGGCACATCCGAACGAATTCAATTTAGAAGGAAATACATCAGAATTGGTAAAAATCGTTTCAGATATTTGGTACCAGATATCACATACAGCCCAGAAATACCTCTGCCAAATTGTATATCCCATATATATTTTTAAGCGATTTCAGGTTAATTGTGCACCAAATGGCCACTATCAGTCAAAATGACCTGAATTTTGTCAAATCCAACCCAATTCAGTCTAGAAGTAAGTACATCAAATTTGGTGGAAATCGGTTCAGATATTGCTTTAGCTCCCATATATATGTATATGTAACTCATATTCGTAATATGTAACTCATATTCGTAATATGCACCCCACAAGAAAGATATTTGGTACTAGATATCAAATACAGCCCAACCTCCGCCAAATTTGATCAAGATCGGCTCAGATTTGGATATAGCTCCCATTTGGATATAGCTCCAGCTATAGCTCCCATATATATGTTTCATTCGATTTGTAGTTTTAAGTCCCTCATGTTCGTAATATGCCACCAACAAGAAAGATATTTGGTAGTAGATATCAGATACAGCTCAGAAATACCTCTGCAAAATTTAATAGAGATCGGCTCAGATTTGGATATAGCTCCCATATATATCCTTATTGCGATTTTTGGTTTATTGTACAAATAATAGCGTACGTTTCCATTTGGTGAAACTCGGCTGCGCTATATATTTTTATACCCTCCACCATAGTATGGAGGGTTTGTCATTCCGTTTGTAACACCTCGAAATATACATTTTTGAAACCCATAAAATTCGATGTCGATTTAGCGATGTTCGTCCGTTTGTCTGTCCGTCGGTGGAAATCACTCTAGCTTCCGAACGAAATGAAGTAGATTCATAAAATTTTACTTAAATGTAATTATGTCTGCAGTACTTTTGATATTGAAAATGGGTCATGTGGCTCCACATTTTGGTATAGCACTTATATACTGGCACCTCCCTATTTTCGGTATTTTGGTGATTTAAGTGACATGGAAATGTTTCAAATTTGTTATTTCAAGTCGTTATAGATATTACAGCCTATGACAGAGAATTGTATGTGCAGGTCCAGGTCTTCGCATAGCCTCCATATATCGGTACCTCCCAATATTCGGTATTTTAGTACCTCCTAATATTCAAATTTGGTATTTGAAGTTTGTAATGCATACTTCAGCCTATGACAGAAAATTGCCCGTGCAGGTCCACGTCTTCGTACAGCCCCCATATAACGATACCTCCCGATATTCGGTATTTTGGTGATTTAAGCGACATTATTCACATTAGAAGTTTCAAATTTCGTATTTGAAGTTCTTAATGGATACTGCAGCCTATGACAGAAAATTGTCTGTGCAGGTCCAGGTTTTCGTATAGACTCCATATAACGGTACCTCCCGATATTCTGAATTTTGATGAGTTTGGCGACATTATTCCCTGGAATTCTTTCAAATTTCGTATTTGAAGTTCCTAATGGATACTACAGCCTATGACAGAAAATTGTCTGTGCAGGTCTCCGTTTTGGTATAGCAACCATATAATGGTACCTCCCTACATTCGATATTTTGATAATTTTAGCGACATTATTCACCGGAATTCTTTCAAAATTGGATATTGCAGCACACGACAGAAAATTGTCTGTGGAGGTCCACATTTTCGTATAGCCCCCATATAAAGGAACCTAACCATATTCAAATTTGGTATTTGAAATTCGTAATGGATACTACAGCCTATGACAGAAAATTTTCTGTGCAGGTCCACGTCTTCGTATAGCCCTCATATAACGGCACCTCCCGATATTCGATATTGTGATGATTTTAGCTACATTATTCACGGTTCTTTTTTGAAGTTTCGCATTTGAATATTGCAGTGGCTTATGACAAAAGTTGCCTATGCAGGTCCACTTCGTCGTACGCACCCTAATATAACGGGCACATTTGGTATTTTTAAGATTTTTAACGCATTTTTTTTTTTTTTTTTTTTTTTGGGAAAATTGACATATTCGTTCCAATTGATGGATGGTGTTCAGCTTTTTTACTTCTTTTTATAAAATCCTATAATCCGATATCATGCACTATATTGCAATGTTATTTGATATAAAAATGTCTCCCTCAAATTTAGTGAAAATCGATTCAGAATTGGATATGCCTCCCATATAAATCAGTTCCCTTTGAAACCAAATTATAACTACTCTACAGCCAAAGGTAGATAAGTGGTATGATCTACTTCAAATAAATTCTTTTGTTACGGGAGGTCTACTTAATATGCATAGTGGTGTAGGGTATCATATAGTCGGCCCCGTCCGATTTTTGAATTTTCCTGACTGGTTTATAATCGTTTTTTTTTTTTTTTGTTTTTTCCAACTTACATCCTGATAGGCTTATTTAACATTTACCAACCGAACTTAATTTTAGCACTTTGTCAAACCACACACTCTCACACCCACCAAAAACGAACCTGCAGCCATCAAATTTCTAAAACCAACTTGGAAACGTGTCCTATCTGACAAAAACGTGCTGTCATTAGATTTGATTCACTCCAATGCTTCTCTCTTCCTCTCGATCTCTATCTCTCTCATGATGCCAATCCAAAAAACTATGACTGCAATTTTTTGGTTAAACAAATAGCAGAGATTGAAAAATGAACAGAAACTCAAGTTTTGGAATTCGAAATGCATCACATGGCATAACTTTGCAAAGAGCAATTGACAACAACCACAAAAAAACCTGACGTGGTGTGGTAGGACAAAAGTATAATTCCCAACACAGCAGCCGTCGCAATTTATCTCTAAGGCCGGAATTCAAATTTCAAATTGAAGTTTTTGTCCTCTGCCTTGATGTTGATTCTACGGTCTTTCAATTTGCCAAGAAGCTTAAAATTCTTCTTTTGGTTGTCAGAAGTTGGCTTATCTTTATCATCTGCTAAACAAATGATAAAGATACCTAGCAAAAATTCAAATTAGTCGGAAATGGAATTTTAGATTTGTCAAAGGGCAAATTTAAAACAAAAAATATTCAAATTTAAGCTATTTTACCCCCCCATTCGAGATATCCCTTAATTCTTTGTAAATTCATTTTCACACTTTACAAACACACAAATCGCCAACACATTCATGATTCATAACGAGCTGAGCTGCCCTAATCTATTCCCCGAAATGGCTTACTTACGAAACAAGACAAATATTTCACATCTCTGAATTTTGAATTACCCGAAATGATTATGGCCAACATAAATACAGATGACAATTGTATCTGAATTTTTGAAACAAAACAAAGGGAAAATATTTTGTCATTCAACACACCAACAAAAAAAAAACCAACAACACCAACATTTATAAATAAAAACTGAGATACCCCTATCCTCACAAATCCCCCCTCCTCCCACTAGAAAAATAACCATTCAAAAGATATGACTTTGGGTTCGTGTTGATGCTTTCTAGGGGGGGATTTAACTAAATGAAACATTTAACTTTCGTTTAAAGATTAACAAGATGAAATTGTGAATATTTAATATGACGAATACACGCACAGACACACGCACACCCACATATCTCACATCTCTATTCTCCAAGACGAGAATGAGAGCAATAAAGATATTTGTAATGTTTACATAAAAATACACACAAAAGGACAATCGAATTGCATACAAAGGAAGTTGTTATGGTCGTGTACCATGGCATATATGTATATATGTCCATACATACATACACACATGTCCTCCTCCTCCACGTACACCATTGTGTTGGTCAAATATTCACCATAGGTCATTTAAGAAACATTTGGGGTACAATGTGAAGAATTTGTCATGTCATGAGGAAAACACTTAAAGTGAAAGTAAAT